TCCATTTGCCATTCCATTTGCCATTTTGGGTGAAAATGTTTACCAAAAAACAATAAAAAAACAGTTTACGATTTTCTTTGCTTACCCGATGATGAATGACTGCAAAAGAAGAGATCTGTGGCTTCAGGCCATCAGCAGAGAGGATAAAAAGGGTAAACTGTGGGATCTGGACAGTCAATCATTTCATCACAGGTTAGTTAATGATTTTACTGAGTAAATTAGATTAGATTGCCTGTAGATTGAAGTGAATCAGAAAAGAGTCTTAGTGACGGTGTAACTAAAGTTTCCACTGTGAAAAAATATGGCCCTACTATAAAACACTCGAAAGACTGCCAGGACCAGAGGGTCTTTTAACTTTAATAATGCACATAAACTGAGCTGACCTACTTTCTAATGATGATCTTTGTAAACAGTATAAAGTAATGTAGGAAGTGGAGATAAAACCCACATTTTTTCTTCTTCTTTGGGCTCATAGTAAAAGGTTGCTTAATAAGCACAAAGGGCTATCAAAATAGAGACAGCGATTCCGATTCACTTGGTGACAGCGGCAAGGAAAAACTTCATTTTAAGAGGCAGCAACCTTGGACAAACCCCAACTCTGGGTGGGTGGCCGTCTGCCTTGAACTGGTTGGGGTTAGATGGTAGCATTTATACCATTGCCGCAGCTTTTAATGCGCCATCTTTTGTTATAGAGCATCTTTGTCACAAACAAGTAGTATTCTCTATAGGTTTCTAAAAACGTAACTTTTTTCTTTAGTATGTGTTTCCACAGACAGTGTTTCCTTCCACTAATCAGAAGGTTGGCGGTTCGATCCCCAGCTCCTCTCGCTGCATTTCGAAGTGACTCGAGCAAGATACTGAAGCCCAAATTGCTCCGGTGTTTGAATGTGTATGAATGCTTAGTTTCCTTTCTGATGAGCAGTTTGCACCTTACATGGCAGCCACTGATATCAGTATGTGAATGTGTGCGGATGGGTGAGTGTGGCATGTAGTGTACAGCGCTTTGAGTGGTCGGAAGACTAAAAAGGCACTATATAAGTACAGTCCATTTACCATTTACCATCTCTGATCAATATTCAGAGGAAATAATCTGCTCAAAATTCATCCAAATTGCTCGCTTTACACAGTTTAGGTTCATTGTCCAGTTTATCAGTTGCTCTGTACTGTTATTATTATGCATTGAATACAATATAAAATATGTCACTTAGTCAGGGGTTGTCAGTTTACTCACTAAAGAAAAGGTGTCCCTTAAGGAAAAAGGTTGGGACCCATTGGGGTATGGTATGATTTAAGATATAAGACCTCACCGCCGCTTCCCCACCTACAGTACCAACCGTCTCTTGTCCATGTCTGCTTTAGTCTTGTGCTCCCTGTCCTCTATCCCATTTCCTGTCTAATGTGTCTTCTCTCTCTATCTTCAGGGACCTCTGTGGGACTTGATGGAGCCTCAGGCAATGAGATGACCCCATCACTGTCCCAGGTGCTGACCTCTATCAGTCCTACATCCACCTTCGATTTCACAGTCAATAAATCATGGAACTTCCTCAGACTTGGGCTTTGTTACAGCTGTGTTTGTGTGTGTGTGTGTGTGTGCTGAATGTAGGCCAGGGCAGTGAAAGAATGTAAAGCAGTAAGGGTGATAGTGTGGGCCTTATTCCTCTGGCTTGGCATCAAGGCGCTCGGCTCAGCATCTTTTGTGAGTGCTGGCGGTCTGACAGAACTGTGGAGGCTCAGATAAGTGCAGCACATTAGTGCACTATAGTTCATTCAAGAGAGCAGCTCAACTGTAGGCACGGTCAATGCAAGTGCTCTGAAAACCACCAGTCAATGTATGTGTGTGTGTGTGTGTGTGCTTACACAGAATTTTGGTTGTGAATAGAATAATGGTGAAAAGGGAAAAGTAGACTGGGCCTCAGTATCCTGGATGTTGGCATCATACTGGTATCCACCAGATTGCAGTGTAACTGTTTATTAAAAAATTTGTTTTAGACAATGATCACTGCTGAGAAGAATATATATATATAATCCTGGTCAAGATGGACAGCAATGACACTGAATGCCATTTGATTGTATGAATACGACTAATATATGTATAATAAAAACCAGAAAATCAATATAAATACGAGATCCCCTCCAGACATGTATTAAGACATATACAAATAGTCTCCTTGGAACAATGATTTGTGTCCGATATGTTTTTAACAATTATTTCCACATTAAAATCCTTAATAAATCATCTCCTCCTTCTACCTCATTAGAAATTCCAGAATCTCTGAATATGCAAATCTTGTTCATTTCTAAAGTTTTCCTGCTGAACACAAGATGTCTCTTACTAAGTCCATTCTCAGTGGATGTGCACTGGTAGCTTCAGGTTTCTACATCACACTGTACCTGTACAAGTTACATGACTAAAGACTTAGGTCGTCGTATTTGAGCACCCTGGGAACGTGACACCTCAACAAGCTCCAACACCCTATCTTTCTTGGCTCTGATCCTGGTTGTTTTCAGTGTCAGGCCGGGGGATTGAATTGTAAAGTAATGTTGATTCTAGATAAAAGGATTATGCCTTGTTAACAGCACGATCAGCTGCACACGTTAGTGTAGTAAGTCTCTCTCAGCCTTCTCTTCTTGCTTGCTCGGTCTTAAATTTGAACAACCACATAGTTATAATTATTAGATATGAAATAACATATCTGTATGTTAATTTTGCTACGAGTTGTGTAATTAAACCTACAATAGAGATAGAACAATAACACTTAACCTGTTTATCCAGCTTTGACAACACATCTTTTACACCCTCCACCCTAGAATAATAAATAGAAAATACAAGAATTGCTGCTGTTTATACTTCTAGATTTGAACCGGATGAAGGGATCTTTTAGTCATCCGGGACGTGGCGTGGAATCTTAAGCATCAAGAAAAACAAGAAAGCACAGAGCCAATACTTTAGACAGACAAAAAAACAGCATCGAGATTGCAGCCCCTCCGAGACAGAATAACCATATAAATAAATCTTGGTCTGTACCAGAAAAGCTCGTGGGAGAGCAGCAGTGGATTTTAAGGATGGCTGCATATATTTAACAAACAGATGTATTTAGTAGGTATATATATACAGCGGGTCATGATTAATGATATATATTGTAAGGACAAAAGAGAACATCATGATGGAAATAAACAGCTCATGCTACAGGTTATTAACGAAAACAAAAACAATATACATATTATATTTTACAACATGAACATCAATATAGATATTATATTAATATTTTCCTTTTCTGACAATAAAGAATCAAAATACACATCAAATAGTAATCGGCAATTATAAACAACATTAACATAAAATTGAGTCTTTCCCCTGAAATGCATAGGTATATACTATGCATTAACTGGCCGGCCAGTGTTTTTCTCTGCCTTTTACTAGGAGAATCCACTACTGTTCTACCTTGGTAAATATTCACAAACAACACAACAAAGTGTAGAAATCAGATGGAAAGCCTCCTAAACAAAAACAGGAAATGCTGTCTTTGCTTTGAACATGGTACAATGCGACTTGCTACTTATTATAGCGCCTTTCCAGTCTTTCTAGCTCTTTCTCACTTACTTTGGATGCACCTGCACACTACATGCCACAGCTCACGCCCATTCACAAAACTTTTCAATACGACTGATGTACCATGCAAGGTGCCACTGCGTCACCAGAACAGAAACTAATCACATTTATACACACATTCACGACAATACAACTGCACAGATCTTGGAGCAATTTTGGGGTTCAGGATCTTGCCCTAAGGACACGTTCGACCATGCAGCTGTGCAGGCGCCCGGGGATTGCAATCCGGCGGAGACCCTGAGCACAGCTGCCCACACTGTTCCGCAAATTACATTTTTCAATTAAATTAAATGTTTCATTTGTATCCACCGAGCACCAAATTCATAAGCGCGAGAAACGTTAGTCTCAGACACTTTTTCAAAATAGAGCAGGTCCTTAGACCGTACTCGCCTTATAAACATTCATCTTACGAGAAACCAAACAAGTACCACCAGTGAGCAAGGCACTGTAATGGCGAACAATCCGGCAAGGAAACCGTCAACCCAGAACTCTAGGTGGGTGGGCCAGTCTGCCTCGACCACTTAGCGCTAATTGTGGTAAACGAAGTCACAACAGGGTACCTTTGAGGTTTGTGTGGTAGCCAAATTAGATGCAATTAGGTCTCTCTAGTTTTATTAAGCGTACCAGTATGATTGCACTCTAGCTTTTAAATGGGCCACATGTAGCCTCTGCAAAGTACAGGTCTGAGTGGCAAGAGGTAACGATGAACTGGAGTGGCAATCGAGATTTCAAGGGGTGGCCATGCCACCCTCAGGCCCCAGTCCTGGAAACACCCACTGGATACAGCAATCAATGTTTCTACCTGTCAGTGTCAGGTTCACCTTGCTTGAATGAAGTAAGCAGCTATGAGGCAGGGACAAAGGACAAAGACAGGATGACGTGTAGTCAAAGGCATTCAATATGTCCCCCCAGAAGTAACTCACCTGTGGTGCTGTGTGCT